GACGTCGTCGTCCGCGGTCAATAGTCCATCGTCCGTCATTCTTCGCCCGTCCGCCGTCGCACGCACTACGTAAAACGTCATCCGGCGTCCGTCGTCCGTCGTCCGTCATCCGTCGTCCGTCGTTATCGTCGTCCGTCGTCCGTCGTCTGTCGTCCGTCGTCCGTCTTCGTGATCGTGGTCGTGCTCGTGGTCGTGGTCGTCCTGATCGTTGTGGTCGTCGTCGTCCTTGTCATGAATCGTCCGCGGTCCGTCCTCCGTCATCCGTCTGTCGTCGTCCGTCGTTCGTCGTCCGTCGTCGTCAATCGTTCGAGGTCCGTCGGCCGTCGTCCGTCGTTTGTCCGCCCACGTACGTCCTCCGTCGTACGTCATCCGTCGTCCGTCTACCGTCGACAGTCGTCCGTCGTCGTGGTCGTCCGTTGTCCGTCGTCGTCGTCGTCGTCGGTCGTCCGTCGTCCGTCGTCCGTCGTCCGTCGCTGTCGTCGTCGTCGTCGTCGTCAAAGCCGTCGTCCTCGTCGTCCGAGATCCGCGGTCTGCCGTCCGTCGTCCGTCCGCCGTCGTGCGTCCGGCGGCGTACGTCATCTGTCGTCCGCCGTCCGTCGTCCGTCGTCCGTCGTCCGTCGTCCGTCATCGGTCTACCGTCGACCGTCGCCCGTTGTCCGTCGTCCGTCGTCCGCCTTCAGTCGTCCGTCGTCCTCGTCGTCGTCCGCGGTCCGCGGTCCGTCGGCCGTCGAAAGTCCGCCGTCGTATGTACTACGTCGTACGTCATCCGCCCACCGTCAACCGCCCGGAGTCGTCCGTCATCCGTCCACCGTCGACAGTCGACCGTCGACCAGCGTCCGTCGTCCGCCGTCGTGATCGTGGTCGTGGTCGTGGTCGTGGTCGCCGTCGTCGTCGTTGTGGTCGCCGTCGTTGTTGTCGTCAATCGTCCGTGGTCCGTCGTCCGTCATCCGTCTACTGTCGTCCGTCATCCGTCGTCCGTCATCCGTCGTCCGTCGTCCGCCGTCTTGGTCGTCGTCGTCAACGTCGTCGTCGTCAACGTCGTCGTCAATGTCGTCGTGGTTGACAACTTCGTTGTTGTCGTCGTCGTTGTCGTCGTCCTCCGTCCTCCGTCCTCCGTCGTCGTCGTCGTCGGTCGTCTGTCGTCTGTCGTCTGTCGTCATCGCGGTCTGCGCGAACGCGTAGGCGGAGGACTCCTGTGCAAGGGCGACCTCGGTTCTCGAAAGTGTTCGCACTTGCTTGCCTGATGTTTCGGGATGCTTCGAATGTTGTTACGCTTGTCCTATTATGCTCGGAGATATTCGAAGATGTTGAAAGGTGTTCAAAGCTTTCGATAGTTGTCGGTGGCCATCGGGCAATGTCGCATGCTGTCAGGAATAAGTATTCAACATATTCAACAAATTTCTCGGATGTGTCCAAAAAACTTGCCCAAACAAGGCTTGCACTCAGGGGTTCTTGCTTTTCCTCGGAGGAAGCGGGCATGTCCCGGGCATGTCCACTGGAGAGTTTTCGATACCATGGGTTGCGCCTAGAGGTCGCGCCTGTACCACCCAAGGATTTCTCGTGGCCACTGGCTGCGACCACGGGTTGCGCCACAGGTTGTGCCCATGGACTGCGCCGAATTAACGATCTGTGGTCTGGTCGCCATAGATTACGGCCATGGATTGCGCCTGTCCCCCCAAGGATTCCTCGTGGCCATCGGTTGCGCCCAGTGGTTGCGCCGAACGCCCCACAAGTTGTGCCCAGGGGTTGCGCCTTGAGGTTCGCTTGTGGACATGAGCTGTGGCCACAGGTTACGCCCATAGTCCATAGTTTCCGTATTCCTTTGCCTTGCGCTGCCTGGCATCTCCGTGCATCGCGGTGCGTTGCACTGTGCTGCGTTGCGTTGCATTGTTGCGCATGCCTCTGCCTTGCACCACCCCAGTTGCACTGGTTCACCGACCTGGTTCCACGCCAGAACCATCGCTGGCGGCGCGCAGAGGGGGTTCGGGGGAGGGTGGAAGGCTTCTAAGAAGGAGGCTGCTTCTTAGAAGGCGCCGGCCCCACACCTAAACAGAAGGCCCGCGCCTTTTAAGGAGCACGGGTGCTTCTAAGGAGCCCTCCCCCCTAACCCCCTATAAGCGCGTGGCCGACATCGGAAACCTTCGGAGAGTCCTCGTGGCCGCACCCTGTTTCCGCTCTGGGGCATGCGGCCGAGGGCCGACTCCGAGGCCAGGGCCCCAGCCGTCTACCCAGGCGGCGCCACAGAAACGGAGACGCATGTCTGCTTCTCGCGGGCGGGGCCTACCTGCGGCCTGGTGCCAGGGGATGAAGCCCGCAGGGCAGGGGCCCACGGGCGACGAAGGAAAAAACAAACAAAACAACAACAACAACAACAACAACAACAACAACAACAACAACAACAACAACAAGAACAAGAACAACAAGAACAACAACAACAACGACGACGACAACAACAACAACAACAACAACAACAGCAGCAGCAGCAACAACAACAACAACACCAACAACAACACCAACAACAACAACAACGACAACGACAACGACAACGACAACGACAACGACGACGACGACGACGACGACGACGACGACGACGACGACGACGACGACGACGACAACAACAACAACAAAACACGTCGGAGGCCTGGGCACACGACTGCGCACCGATCCTGCCCACCGACCGATCCTCCCTCGGCGCCCTCCCCCGGCGCACGGAGGTGGGCAGCCCCGGCCTGGCCCCGGAGAGGCGAGCCCCCGAGACCCCCGATCTCCTGGAGCTGGTCGCACTCCTCGAACGCCGCCCGCAGGCCCTCGTCCGCCGCGACCGCCTCCTCGGCGCTCAGCTCCGGGGCCGCGACCTCCGCCGACGCCGGCGCGGGCGCCACCGCGGCGAGCACCTCCGGAGCGGCCTCCGCCTCGAGGTCCGCCGCCGCCGCCGCCGGCGCCGCTGGCGCCTCGGCGGCGGCCGCGCCCTCGGGCTCGGCGGCGGCCGACGACGGCTCGGCGGCGGCCGCTGGCTCAGCGGCGGCGGGCGGTGGCTCCGCCTCCGCCGCGCGCACGCCAGCCTGCGCGCGCGCGAGCGAGGGGTCGAGCTGCGAGGGCGAGGGCGGCGCGGCCAGGCTGTCGGGCCACGCCGCGGCGGCCGTGCACTGCAGCAGGTAGTTGGTCCACTCGGGGCGGACCCCGCAGACGATGTCCACTGGGCTGACGCTCGCCAGGTCGGCGGCCTGCTCGCCGAGCGTGGCGGCCGCGAGGGCGATCCAGCCCTGGATGAAGGCGACTTTCTCCTCGCGCGCGCCAGGCGGCGCCACCTTTTCGCCCGGAGGCCCCCCGAACAGCTCTGCAGCGCCGAAGCCCGTCTGCCTGGCAACCTCGGCCACGACGTCAAAGAGGAAGCGGAAGGGCGGTTTCCTGAGCCGCTCGGGCAACAGCCTGGGCTTGGAGATGACCAGAGCAGAAAAAGAAACCACTGCCACCGCGAACCCACCAGGAAGTCCCTGGGCGGTGGCACGCCTGCATGTCGCCTGGTACTGGATGACGTTCGGGCGTGCCACCTCCAGAAGTCGCCCTCTCCCCCTGGATGGGTCCTCGGTGGCGGTGGTCTGCTCCTCCTCCTCCGAGATGAGCTGCCCCAGCGTGGACTGCGTCAACACCACGAAACCCTCGAGGTGGTCGGCGGTCGCCACCGGCTCCTCGGCAGCCATTGCCTGGGAGCCCCGCGCGCGCGCGCCCTTGGCCCCTGCGGTCGGCGCGACACCGGCGCGGAGAGGAGGAGGAGGAGGAGGAGGAGGAGGAGAAGGACGGAGGAGGAGGACGAGGAAGAGGAGAAGGCGAAGGAGGGGGAGGAGGAGGCGGGGGGAGGACTTGGATGAGGAGGAGGAGGAGGAGGAGGAGAATGAGGAAGAGGAGGAGGATGAGGAGGAGGAGGAGGAAGAGGAGGAAGGGCATGTGCGGGATCCATCCCCCGCATCCGCCCCCGCGCGCGCTGCCCGCCCGGCGGGCTTGCTTTCCGTCGCCCCACCGCGGCCGCGGTCAGGGGCGCCGCCATGGCACAAGGATGATCGGCCGCGACTACAACATCACCCACCAATTGTTGAATTATGAGGCGGACACCTGCAACATCACCTACGGGCTACGAGACCTGCCCACGTGGGCGGAGACCTATTGGCAAGCATGCCTGAACCATGCACGCACAAAGGAACTTGGGCCGGAACAGACGCGGCCCAAAAACGAATGGGGCACAGCGTCCTACATGGGATACAAACTCGATCCGACGACGTCATGGTCATTGCCACGGCAACCTTCCCGAGGGCGTCCACGTACGGGCTGCGTATGAGTCCACAGGTGACCGGCCGGGGCGACGTCACCACACCATGTTAAAACCACGCTTAACCACGAAGGCCAGTTCGTATCGAGACGATTTTTGCTCCACGCCAGATCGCTTGCGCGCTTGAGGCAGAGTAGCCAAACCATGCTAATATGACGTTTAACCGCGATCGGCGGCGGCTCCTGGGGAGGAGGAAAGAGGAAGAGGAGGAGGAATGGAGGAGGAAGGAGGAAACGAGAGGAGAGGGAGAGGCTGATTCTAAAATGCCCAGATTCGTATCATACAGTTCCGTGCACTGCACGGCGGAGAAAATAAAACGCACCAATTTGAGCGACGCTCAGGCCAACCTGCGATAGGCGAGCCGTCGCGCGCACTGGCAACATTACGTAACCATCTGAATCCGAGCTCCGTGAACGACCACGTAAACTTGAAACAGGACAAGAGCACGAGGAGGAAGAGGAGGAGAGGAGGAGGGAGAGGAAGGAGGGACGGGGAGGAGAAAGAGGAGAAAACAAGTTGCCTGGAAGTCGGAGCGTTGCTCTACCCGCGTGGACACACACGCCCTAGCATGGCCACCACGCCTGCGGCAAACACAATAAGCTACATGCATGCGTGCAAAAACATACTCTCCCCAGCGCCCCGCCCTAGCGGGACGCGAAGGGAACACCCGTCAGCCTTAACGTTCGACCCCGCGCTGGCCTTCACGGAGGCACTCGGCAAACGCCCCATCGAAGTCCGAAATCTCCAAATGACCGTGCCGCCTGCCGTTGTAGGTCCGGTACAGAGCGCACACAGCTAGAGCCCTACGCTGGACCTCTTCCGGCAGCCGCCACTGGTCCCCCAAGCCCAGGAAGGCCTCCAGCTCGAAGCCTGGATCGGGCGGTTGGGCGCCCGCGTGCCTGCTGAACAAACGTCGGACAACGGGGCAATCAGCGAAGTGTCGAGCGCTGTCCTCTGGGCAACCACCGCCCATCCGGCACTCGCCACGAGCCCCGAATCGTGATCGCGCACACCGCCCATTGCAGAAGAGTCTGAAGGTGGCAGCCCAAATCCGCGTTTGACAGGTGCTGCTGACCAGCTGCAAGACATGGCGGGCCCGATGTAATCGTCGACCACGACATAGAGGAAAACACCAACGGTCCAACTTTTTTCTGGCGATGTCCTAAAGCGAGGGCCTGCGAATTTCCGTATATGCGTTTCGCCACCCGCTTCTGCCAACCGAGCCGCTCTGCCCAGAGACGGCCATCAGGACATCAACGGCGAATCGCGTCCACCCAGCACGCCGCAGGATGCAGGTCGAGGACGAAGCTGTTGTCGCGCCAACTGCAAAACCAACCGAAGCGACCCAGCGCAGCAGCCGAAGCACAAGACAAAGCCTGCAGCCTTGCTGCCCGTTTCGCGATGCCGAGGCCCTGCGGGCCTCCAAGCTCACGACCCTGGCCTTCGCCGCGACGATCGTCGAAGGGACGTCGGCAAACTCCTCCAAGAAGCGCAGGGACTTCAACTCCCTGGCGCAGCCCGCCGCCATCCAGTCCTTGGGGCCCGGGAAAAGCTTCCTGCAGGCCGCGACCTCCGAGAACCGGAACGCGCGTGGTAACTCCTCTAAGTGTCCCACGAACAACGAGACAGATGCTACAAAAAAGCATGCTTTCATGGCCATGAGGAGACCGGCGCCGACGGCGCCCCATTGCCGAGCACCTTCGACATATTTGCGGAGCGGGGCTTCCCAATAGAGCTGCCCCCTGCCAGGGCCGGCGTATAATCCCAAATATTTCGCCGCGGCTGAAATTGCTGGCCCCCCCACCCAGGCGCGCCCGCCGCCGCCGCGGCGCGAACCTCGTGCTCGTCGCGCGGACCCAGCGGCACGACCACCGTCTTCGGGATGTTCAAACCAAGTCCTGAGACCCGTTCGAACTCATCGAACAACGCCTGCAGAGCACCGAGTTGCCGCCGACCGCCGGCTAGGACCATAGCTAGATCGCCCGCCCAAGCCCCAGCATCTGTCTCTGGGAACGCACGGGCGAGCCACCGAAGAAGCAAGTCTGAAAAGCCAGCTAACAATAATGGAGAGAGGGGGGGCAGCTCTGCCGGACGCCGCGGGCGAGCTCGAGGCCAGGGTATCGCACCCCATCCAAATGAAAGCAACAAAAATTGCGAATGCACAAGCTGCCCACGAAATTGACGAGCCAACGGGGCCAACCCAGGTGCGAGAAGGAAGCGATAAGGAGCCAGTGCTCGATGGACGGAAAGGCAGCTGCGAAATCGAAGAAAAACGCCATGCCCCCCTCGCCGTTCGCCGCCGTATGTATACAACATTGTCTCGTCGATGTCGATGAGATTCGCCAGCATGGACCGGCCCTGGATGAAACCCCGCTGGTCGTCCGTGATAAGCTGGCCGAGAACCGGCCCCACCAGGATGCGGCACGCGCTCGCCGGGAGGCGGTTGTCGGCATTCGTAATGCGAAGTGGACGCACACCCTCTGGTTCAAAGACCTCGTCGTCCTCGGCCGTGATCCCCGCTGCCTTCTTGGGGGGGAACATGAGGAGGCTCTCGTTGAAATCCCCGCACTCTGGCGCCACCCTGTCCGCAAAGTCGCCACCGCTGATTTCCTGGAAAGCGGCATGTAACACGTCGACTGCCACACCCCCCAAACGACGCCATGCAGCATAAGGAATGCCGCCCGGACCCGGAGCCGAATTGTTTGATAATTGCAACGCCTTTGCGACAAGCTCATTTTCCAAACGCAGGTGGAGGAGGCCGTCGTGGGAAGGCCCATGCTTTGCGCGATAAATCGCGCTTTCCTTCAACCACTGCTGGAGGAGATCCTCGTCGATCTCGCGACCACGAAACACTTGCTGCCAGCGAGTCCGGAGGGCGGCCACCATCGCAGACGGCTCCGCGAGATGCGCGCCGCCCCTGTCCTCCATCGCCCCCACGGCGCCACGGCGCCCCTGAAAGAACCGGTAGAAGGCATGAGGCTCTTCGCCGAGCTCGCGATGCACGCCCCTGTTCGCCCGCCTGTTCTGCCTGCTTGACCCCCCCCAGCTCGTCGAGCGCATGTTCCCGGGCGAGCCCGACAGCGCGCCCCCGTGCCAGCTGGAGTCGCCGCGCGAGGTTGCCGCCCATCTCGCACGGGTTGCCTACCAGGCCCCTGAGATATGGATACCGGAGCAGGCAAGTCGAAATAGAGCCCATGGCGCCATGCTCTGCTGCGCGGAGAAAACGCATCGCAACGCCGAGGCTGTCGTCGAGCTCCACGGCGCCCCGGTGCCGGCCGAACTGCGAGCTGAGATGGTTCCCAGTTTCCTTCAAATGGCGAGTGCTCGGAGCCGCAGGTTCCAGCTGGCATATCTCATGGAACGAAAGAAGCACTTGTCGTGTGAAGTCCTCGTGGGTGATCGCGTCGCGCGGAATCCCCTGGTCTTCCCCCAACATGCGCCGTGGAGTGCGCCGCGAGAAAAGCAGCCCCGCGGTTGGAGAAGCGCACGCGCCACTCGAGGGCAACCGTTTTGATGGCTCTGTCAATCTGCTCCACCACGTGCCGATTACAATAGATGCGGCCCAGCCGGGAGTGGGCCCGCGCAGCCGCGCGGGTCACTTCTGGCTGGTGCATTTCGTGCAGCTTGAAAGGGGTGCCGATGATCCGTTCGGAACGGGGAACGGCGTTCCTCTCTCTGGCCTCGGCGCCCGGAAGCCTCGGCAGAGGCGGTGCCCCGCTGTCCGCGGCCGCCGGAACCCAATTGAAGTCGCCCCCGGGAATGGTGGGCTCAATATTCGGGTTAGCTATGTTCGGGAGCGGCCAAGAGGGAGGCGTCCAAGAGGGGGGGGTGCAAATCATGACCGGCGGCACGCGCGCGGCCCAGCGGGGGGGCCAGGGACGCAATGACATAAGAAGCGGCGCCATGAAATCTGGGGAAATATCATGGCCATCCACCCCCCCTAGTCATCATCCCCCTCTTTTCCGCCCCCGAGATGTGCCGGCTGATGCGGATGCGGACGAGATCCCGGAGCGCCAGGAATGAAGTTGCGAGGTGGCACTCTGCTGGGGGCACGCCGCACAAGTCTGGCTCCTGGATCTGCGCACCCGCGTGGAAGCAGCTCACAATGAGGTCGAGCGCGCCTTCCAGGCCACGCAGCGAGAGACGGTCAGCGCGGCCAGGCCATATCACATGCCACTGTACCTCGCCGAACTTAGCGAGACAGCTCTGCCGGACCACAATGCCGATCCCCGCGTGCCCAGCGGTGGGGCCTGCTGACCAACTACAGGTAAATCCGATAGGAGCTCGCCAAGCCTCGTGCCTGCGAGTGGCCCCGCGAGCGTCGACGAGCAAGAAGACGTCGCACCTCGCGAGCAAGTGCTAAAGGTAACGGCACTTATCGGCGTGCTCGTTGTCGTCCTGCGCGACAAAAGCCTGGGCATTCCAGGTGGCGCAACGCGCGTCGCCCCTGTATTGCCCCAATCTTAAATGACTGGTCGAAGCCGTAGGAGCTGGCACCGACCTGGCAGGTGGAAGAATCCGAAAGGGCCCAAGGAGCCCGCCATAGCTGAAGGCTGGGAAACATGTTAGGAAACGGTATGAATTCCCAAACGAAGTCGAATAAACATGAGCCGAACTAGAAATACCACGGGCAACATGATGCACACCAACGCGGCCAGGACAACGGCCCCATCGTTCCGCCTGCAATCCGAAAAAAAACGAACTCCACAATGTAATTGGCCGTTGTCGGCTCGGAAGCAGGCGGCGGTCAGCGCTGCCTCCATTTCCCGGCACGCTGGCCGAGTCGAAGTAATGTTTCACGTCGCGCTACCACCTCCCACCACCTCCAGATAGACATGCGTTTTCTTCGACAGCGCGAAGCAAAACCACGCCAGGTGATGCCAGGACGGACTACGGGCAAGAAGGCCGCGGCGCGTTGAACCCACGGCGCGGATGTCCGCTGCACCATCCGGTACGGAATCCAACCCTGCAGCCACAATGTCTTGCATGCTGGCACGACGATCGTTGGAGCGCGCACCCCGGCCGCGGCATGTTGCCCCGCTGGTTGGAGCGGGTGGGCGGGGAAAGCTCCGAATTTCGATTGCCTTTGGACCTCGAGCCAAAACGGCAACGGAGCCACGGAGGCCGTGGCATGTTGAACCCACGGTGTGGATGTCCCATGCACCATCCGGCAGGGGATCCAACCCTGCAGCCGCCAACCTGACTATTCACTATCTGCGAGCTATTCACTCCAAGTGGGAAAGCACCTGCCACATCGCTGTGGTGCTTCTGGCAGTTTCTTTAACTTCTGGCATGTGCAGAAACCGAGCTGCCAACCGCATCTGGCCTGCCGGCGCGCTGGCGGAAGCTCTTCGAAGCCTAGCGCCATCGGAATGTGGATTTTCTCCGACGCGCAATTCATGACGTAGACCTCCGAAGCAGCCTCATCAACACAGCGCTGGACGCTTTCGACGTCACCCCTGAGGAAGGAAATCTCCCAATCGAGGCGTTGAGAGACGCCCTCAGGCTGCGGGCCTCCAGCGGCTTGCGAGTCCCCAAATTTGGGGGCATGGTAGCTCGCTTGAACTCTGCCGTCAACGACTGGAGCGGAGCTTCGGCAACGCGCCGCAAGACGACGCCACTGCTCCAACGAGCTAGGACCTGGATGGCCAGCAAGGCGACGCCGCGGGAGGCAAGCCAACGCGGCCAACGCGCTCCCGTGACCTGGAAGCTGCGACCGCCCTACAACTTGTAACCTTCCGGCGCGCGCAGGGGAAGGTTGAGGTCAGCAGCAACAACCATAAATGACTTCACGACCAGGTCTTTGGCGACAAACTCGCCCTTCTCATTGGGATACGCAGGGAAATCGCCCGAAAGTACATCGCCAAATGCTGATTCTAAGATCCGCACGTGGTTGACGGCAAAGCAGCATGCACAAGGTCCACGACCTTCGCAGATGCAGTCCCATGATCTGCGCTTGCCCAACGCCCGCGGATCGGTTTCGTCCACGGGGAGGCCCCACGGAACGACGCGCCGGACCAAGTCCACGGTGAAGTTCGCCAGGCGAGCCGCGCTGGCCCCCAGCTCCGGGCGCAGAACAAGGACCCACACACGATGAAACCTACCATGTCGATCGGCCCACCGGGCACCGCAGCCCGGTCAGAACACGGGAGCTTCGCAACCTCGTCCAAGGGATATCCCGCAGACTGCCTCGCGGGGCCAATTCCCCGCGCAACACTTCGTCCGACACGCCTGCTGGCTCCGTCGAGACCATCTGCCCACGCAAATCCAAGCTCGACGTGGCGGTCCTTAGCCCTCGAGAGCAAGCCCTTCCCGAGCGGCACCGACCATGTTTAATCATGGCCGCGACGGCCATAAGCTTTCGCTCGACGAGCGGGAAGGGCGGACAAGCGCCCTCGAACCATGCCGAATGCAATTCCTCCCACAATTCTAAATATTGCTGCCGCTTCGCACTGGAGGACGAAGCATCCTGGTCGCGAATGAGCAGTTCCATGGCAGCTTGGCGGCTGGCATGGGTAGCAGCAGCCTCGAGCGCCAGGCTTTTCGATCCCCGGCGGGCGAAGGACATGGACGGCTCGTCACTGCGAGCACGGCAATACCCCAGAGAACCAGGAGCGGCATGCGAAGGCGTTGCCGGACCAGCGTGCGACGAAAGGCCAACTCCAAGAAAGCCCGCGTCGCCAGCCCTTCGATCTCGCGCAAGATCGGCATCAGCCCACGATCTTGAGGAGCACCAGCAGCGCCCCTGCATGCGACGCCCAGCGCGAACGACACGGGCGGCCCGCTGAAGCAAGCTCCAGGAGAAGCAGTCGCATCAGCGCCGCCTCGAGGAGGCCGAGGAGGAGCAGGAGAAGCCTCGGCGCACCGAATAGCGGGCAAGATGTCCGGCGAGAAGGTCCTCTTCCGGGAGCCCATGGCACGCGGCAGGCGGCGCCCCAGCCAGCCACGCCTGCGCCAAACTGCTACGGAAGGAGAAAAGGGGGGGAAGCACAGTGGCGCCGCCCCACCGAGCGGCCACAAGAAAGCACAGCGGTGCGTTATCCCGCTGAACAGGCCAATCGAAATCGACCGACACCCTAGGAAAGACTCAGCGGTAGGTTATCCCTTCGGGCCGGCCGACCGCGCCCGGACTATCTAACCAGGAAGGCACAGCGATAAGTTGCCCCGCTGGGGCGGGCCGACGGTCGTCGGCCGCACCCCTTGGAGAGCACAACGGCACGTTGCCCCGCCGGGGTCGGCTAGTCGCGCCCGGGCGCACCCTTTGGAGAGGGCCCCGCGGCACGTTGCCCCGCCAGGGTGGCCGAGCGTCGTCGACCGCATCCCTGAGCGAAGACGCAGGCCCAGAACGCGTCTCGAGACCAGCCACACGGAGGTCGGCGCGCCTCCCGGAGGCCGTCTGCCCCGGACTCGAAAGATACGAGCTCCCAGAGATTCGCATCCAGGACGCCCTCGGGAAAGCTCTCGGCGAGGGGCCAGAACGAACTACATCCGAACCGAGGGCGACACCCATAGCCTGCGATGGAAGCAAACGGGCATCTGAGGAACGAGCCATCCTAAGAGCCGCCAACCAAGAAGCCAACACCCGCGGCTGGCAGGCCTTGCGATGGTCCGCGCCGAGCCTGTCGGGCCCACGCGCCCAAGGCAAATTTCGAGGCGAGCAGCGGGGCCCCCCCGCCCGGCCGGATTAACGTCACCGCATCAGAAGGGGATATTATCATCCCCCTGGGCTGGCAAACTGCCTTTACAGTTTCAAAGCCGGCAGGACTTTTTCCAGGTGAGAGGACCTGGGCCCGAAAAGATCAAAACATGCAACAACGCACATCGCGGCGCACCGAATCCGCGACATTTGCCACGCGGCCGCCAGCGGCCGCCGACCTTACGCGGGCCACCGCGGACCACCACCGGGCAGCTTGCATGCACCACTGGATAACCTAAAAAAGGCTTCCTATCCGAGGTCCCCGACGACGTCGGAAACCTCGCGAATGTCTGGCCCCGCTGGCACCCACCAACTGGTGTCTTCAGAGGCCCAAGCACGACGACGGTGCATTATCCCGTCGGGCCGTCCGGCCATTAGCTCGCGCGTACCCCCCTCCACGAGGATGGGCTGGCATCCCCCGGTTGTTGCCCTGGGGGGCAAGAGGGGGGTGTGGGGGGGGTGGGCGACGGCGCGCTGCCCCGTTGGGGTGCCACGGTGGCTCTGACTGCTGGTAGGCGGCTGCGCCCGCAGAGCCTCTCAACCGCGTTCCCAACCAAGTTGGCCCTGCAGACCCAGCCGCCCTGGCCGACCGCGCCAACCACGAAGCAGCACAGCAATAAAGCTTTTTGCTGGTTCATGTCGCTGCCCCAGCCCCCCGGGGGAGCGCGCAAAAATTGAAAATGTCACTATAGATACAGGTGTGGCGGCTCGGACTGCCGAGAGCGGCCCTCGATATTCCCGCTGCTCCGCGGCCGTTCTCGGGGGCCGCAGCGCGCGCCACCAAGAACTCGAACGGACGCCCAGATGCCCCTCGGCTGCGTCGGCCAGCAGAGGGCGCGAGACGACGGGGCGACCCGGCTGGGATTGCAGGCTCAACGAGTCCGCGATGCCGAGCGCGATGCCGGGAGCATGGGCGCAGACGTCCGGCTGGAACGCGCCATCACAAAGATCAAACGCTATCTCCCTGGCGATTGTCGCCACGCCGGCCCTTTTGCCCTTGAGCTTGGCCAGCGCTGTCAACGCCGCGACGTCGTCAGCCTTCGCCTCGTGGGCCGCGCGGACGGAGCACCACCAGGATTTCCACTTCCGCAGCGCCACGAGGATGGCGAGGGCCTCGAATGCCTGCTGCCCGAGGCGCGACCCAATGGACGACTGAAGGACGACCGCATCCAGCTCGGACAGGGCGCCGGCAAACCATTGCGTAATCTGGCCACCCACAACACGAACGCCGCCAAGACACCACGGCGAGGCGCCAGCGACGATCGTGACGGAGGCGCCCCCGCCGCAGCAAGCCAGGACGCTGTAATGGATGCGGACCGCCCCGGCAGCCTCAGACAGAAAGGCGAGAACCCAGCGCAACAGGACCTTGATCTGCACGGCCCAGATGCCAGATGCATCCCGGGGGGGCACGGGGGCCTTTTTCCACCTGCTTGCCCACGGCGGCGAGCGCGCCCCAGAGGTCACACAAGAAGGCGCGCCACGGAAAGAGGACGCCCGCGATGTGATTCGCAACGCCGATGTACTGACGGAGCGCTTTGGCGAAGACCACGCTCAGGGAGAGCAGCTTGATGGCATCATCCGCGAGCTCCTTGACCTTGTCCTGGTCGACAGAGGCCACGACGCCCTCGCCCTCGATGTCCAGGAGACCACCGATCCAGGAAACCCTCGTACCCCGCTGCGCCATATGAAGTACCATAGGGAAGCCCAGCAAAATGCCAGGCGAGGACGAGCCGAGCGAGGCGCCGGTCACGAGCGCCGCTGGCTCCCGGAGCGCACTTGCTAGATCGTCAACGCACGCCTGGATACAGAGCGAGGGCAGGGACCTCCTCGACCGCTCTTCCGGCTCGAAAAACATGCCCTGAGTGAGGCGAAGGGCCAGGGACAGGACAGCAGCCCAGGCAAACGGGCCGTTCCTGGAGCCCTGGGCCGCTCGGGCGCATACATACCCTGACATCCTCCAGTCGCAATTTTTTCAAGACGCCAGTTCTTGTTGTGTTCTCGTTTCAAGACGTTGCGAGAAAAACAAGGCAAAGGCATGTAGTGCGTTTTTGCGTAAGTTGGCGTTGTCGTGTTTTTGGGTTTCATGGTGCGTTTGCATTGTTTTCTGTCATAAGACGATCGTTGACAGGGCCTACGGGCCAGTGCCAGCTTGGGCCGACCAATATTGAACCAAAATAGCCACGGCAGGAGGATGGAGGGTGGCGGGGCGCGCACTTGGCATGCATTAGTGCGCAACGTCCGCGATGGTGAAGCGGGGTGGGCGTCCCGATCGAAGCTGCGCACTGCAAGATCGAGATGCGCAATCGTGGCAGCATTCGAGGGGTCTGCTCATGGAGGAGCGGAGACGAGCGCGCAGCGGCCCCATTCATTTTCCTTTCTTTTCTGCAACATATGCAATAGTGCACGGCAGCATGATGCCGCTCACGCGCCAACGCCGCGTTCTGCAGCGTCAGGATCGATTCAAATAGTTGGGGAGGAATAGAATGATGATCTTTTATATATATATATATATATATCCACACACGTATATATATATATACATATATACATATATATATAGGACGCCCGCACTTTTCATCCGCATGCGTGTGGCGCGTAGTGCATAATGGCGTGCAGGCCATTCAGCCCGTGCTCCCTGCGCCGCTGAATCGTGCGCGAGGCGAGCGAGCCCTAGGCTAAACTAGGATCGAGAGATGAGAGGAAGAAACATGCACCTCTCAATGCTATATACACACAAACATACACACATCATGCGCAGGCATGCGTGCACGGATACGACACTGCGTGGTGCAATTCGAGGGGGGTGTGCTTTTTGGTCCCAGGATCCTGGGTCGGGGCCAGGGCGGAAAAAAAACACCCTTGGAACAAAAAAACCTTGGAACAAAAACACGTAAGGGAAACCCGAGCACCGCGCGGACGACCGCCGTTTTCCGTCAAGAGCAAGCGTCGGTCATAACCACCATGCACGATGATGCGGCCACGCGTGTCGACCAACTGTGGTGTTAATCGACGGAGAGAGGTAGAGATCCCGAGTGAGGAGGAGGTGGAGGGGATGGGCGTTATTTCCAAACGTTCATGGTGGCAATGTCAGTGGCGCTCATCTCCTGCGCATCTGTGACCACGTGGCGCTGCATCGGGCGACATCCTGTGATCACGCGCCCCAGACCCCCGACGTCGTGATTTTTTCACAACGTCGACCCCCAGAGGTCTGTCGCTCCCGAGGCCCAGTGAGAGAACCCAGAGGCCGAACACAGCGAAAAACCGCCCGTCGCGATTTTTCACGACGCCGGGAGGTCTGGGGTCTGGAGGGTTATAATGGGCCGTTTTCGCGACAGCGGCCGCGAGGAGGAGGTGGAGGAGGATGAGGGCTCTTTCCCAAGCGTATGGTTGCAAATTGGTATGATCTCGCACTGCGCCCCTGGGTACTTGTCGCTGCATCGCGCGAGCGATGCGGGGGGCGAGGTGGGAGGATGGAGTAGGAGGGTGGGTCGTCATCCTCGAAGTTGCACGCGCATGCGTTAGCCACGTGTCGGCGCACGTCCCCGCGCCAAGCCCTCGCTGCACGGATCGAACCGGATCGAGGGGGGAGGGGGGCGAGAAAGGGGCAGGCGCAGCGTGGGCGGCCCTTCTGCATTAATGCAGCGGCCAGCTTCACGTGCTAATTCGCCGAGAAAGGAAAGGAGAGGAAATTATGTAATTGTCCGAGAAGGGAAAGGAGAGGAAATTATGATAGGAACACGTGCAGGGGTGACGGCGAGGATGCGGAGGTTGGTGGGGCGAGGGCGGTGGTTTCAATCGAAGGAGGGAGAGAGGCTGGGGGCCTGCAGCTCGCTCCCGCGGGAGCAGTACGGTCGGCAGGTCGGCCCTGACAGATTCTCAGGGCTGCCGCGCAAGGAAACGTCTATATATATATATACACACATAGACGTCGGCCCTGACTATTCTCAGGGCTGGGCCGCTCACTGGATGAGCCTCGGCCGCACCCGCTCTGGATCGACGGGGAGAGGTTGGATCGAGCGCCGCGCGCGGGGCCAGCCTCGGCAGGGCACGGGGGCGGGGCCGAAAGGCATGGATCGATCGGTTGATCGACCGAGTGCTCGATCGATCGAGCGATCTCGATCAGTCGATCGATCGACCGATCGATATCAAGCCTTTCGGCCCCTCAAGGCGGGACGTGCGAGAGCTTCAAGGCACGGAGGCACGCATGGCCCCCGTGCCCTGCCGAAGTTGTCTGCTCTACAACTCGAGCGTGATCGAGGCTGTCGAGTCGAGGGAGCAGGGGAAAGGCTTCGAAGTCCGACCCTGGATGCGAGCGCAGCCTTCTCGATCGAGGCCCTCGCCTGCCCCGCGCGGGCGCATGGATCCAGACAGGAGGGAGGAGCGAAACATTGCGAGGAGGAGGCCAGCGCGCTTCGACGCGGCCGCGCCTCCAATGAAGCAACGGGGGGATCCGCCGATCCCCCGATTAATGAACGGCTCGAGGCTGGCCCAGCTTCCGCCTCAATCCTTGGCGATCTCGAGGCCCTTCCTCGAGCCCAGCCTATAGGCAGCTTTTTCTTTTTTGGAGGGGGAGGGGGGGGGGGCGAAAGGCGACCGATCGACCTCGGCAAGGTCTTCTTCGTCTCCTCGGTCTCATTCTCCTCCTCGTTATTCCTCCTCATTAATGATTCTCTTGTTCTTCTCCTCATTATTCCTGCTAATCGTTCTCCTCCTCCTCATCCTCATCATCATCATCATCATCATCATCATCATCATCCCTCTCTCCTCCGTCAGCCTGGGGTAGTTCCGTGTACTTACACCACCATGGCCAACCACACACCCATGTCGAAGTTCACGCTCAGGGCGAAATCAATGGACAGCCAGCCCTCGAAACACAGCACGGGGACGTGGCCATCGCACAGGGAGTTCGCGTAAACGCTGAGGACGACAGTATACACACTGCGTTCCAGCACATACCCCCCCACCCCACGCGCTGGCATCCCCCGCCTCCTGCGGAAGGGGTGCCCAGGGGGTGGGAAGGGCAGAGCGGATTCGCAGTATCGTACAGGTAGTCGTTGAGGACGGCAGTATACACCACGCACTGCGTTCCAGCACATACCCCCCCACCCCACGCGCTGGCATCCCCCGCCTCCTGCGGAAGGGGTGCCCAGGGGGTGGGAAGGGCAGAGTGGATTCGCAGACGTGGCCATCGTACAGGGAGTTCGCGTTGCCGTTGAGGACGGCCGCATACACCATATACATGCGTTCCAGCACTACCCCCCACCCCACGCCCTGGTACCCCCCGCCTCCTGCGGAAGGGGTGCCCAGGGGCCCCGTGGGAAGAGCAGGGTGGATGGTCCACGTGCGTGCGAACCCCTGGCTCTGCGCGAAGCTCTTGCACGTGGTGTGCATAGCATGTACCCGCGGCCCGCGGGGGACTCGAAGATTGGATCCGAAGCGGCCCGAAACTGAGACCGATCGCGATGAGTTTCAGAGAGGAATTTGATTTTGAGCGGGTCCGAGGGAATCCAAAACAATTGACATGTATATACGCAGGGCCATTGACCAGAATTCGGGCCAACCATTTCGAACCCCAACACCTCTGACATCGAGGCGTTGAAGAGGTCCGAACGCTTTGACACACGAAATATCGTACATCGAGCGCGGCCTCAGAGAGGGCCGAACATCTCGAAACGCGAAATCTTGGACATCGATCGGCCTATGGGATTCTCGTTCCTCCAAGGGGTGGGGTGGTGGGGTGGGAAGGTCCTCCGTAAATTCCTGTCCGCCTCCGCCGATGCATAAGAACGGGGACGAAACGAAGAACAAGGAACGAGGCAAGACGATATCATGTTAATCCTCCGCTGCTCCCCCGCCTCCAGAGAGGGACCCTCATCCTCGATCCTCGGTCCTCTCCCTCAGCCGCCGTGCTCATCTGTCCTGCTCGGTTGTCTGACGTCCAGCACCACATTGCATCTTCCCTGGCGTTTTTTTTCACACATGGCAACTGCATGGTATCACTAGCAAAGCTCGGGAATCACCTTCTCGAGGAACGAGTAGTAAAACGTGCTGCCATGGTGCAGTGACTTTGCCACTGCACCCATGGCTCTATTATCTGACTCGTCACAAAATGTCCACATCAGTTTGGGATTCCCCTGGCGCCTGGAGCGGGCCACTACATGCACGCACATGTGGTGTTTGAATATTTCATGGCCACCCCACGCTTTCCAGTACGCCAAGTATTTCAGCATCGAAGTCTCGAGAATGCGCTGCTGGACGTCAGACAACCGACGCGTGTTCTCCTTCAAGCACTTATGGAATAGATTCAGCTCCCTAACAGCATGTGGCAAGAACACGTCCGTATCATTAGTGAACAACGATGCGTTCTCTCTGATCACGGCTTCGCAAAAGGGGACCAAATGTTTCGTCTCCGCTGCCTTCGCATGAAGACGTGGCCAGTTGACATCACCGAGCATCTTTAACGTTAATTTTTGAATTCTGCTCTGGCTTCCTCGGGGGTGTGCTGCCTTCTGCTGGATATACCATGACTTGAGCCGCCGTCTCAGATGAACGATGTTGTGCGATCGGCGTATTGCAACAGTGCTTGCACGGCTCAGCGCAAAGTTATGCTCGATCAAATGCATCAGCACTGCTCCTACAAGGAGCTGGCTGATGCCGAGGTCCACTATGTGCATGAGGTCCAGC